ACCAAGCAAGGCTTGGCTCTTTCTTCCCAAAGGTTGCTTCTTGAAGCCACACAACCAAAGAACAAGGCTCTAAACCCCACAACCAGAGAAGACAACCCAAGAAACACCCAAGAGTAGCTCACCAACTCAGAAACCAAACTTCTCACCCAACCCAACACAACCACAAGGTGATTTCAAGGAAGAAACAAGAGGAAGATGATTATTTGGTGGTTTCTCATGAAGAAATGGTGAAGACAAGTCAAGAAAGCACCAATTCAGATATGGAGGCACAAGGGTCATGTAGGAAGGCTGAGTATCAGCCTAGGGTTTAGTGCCCTTAGTATATATAGGCGGTTTAACACTTAAACACACATTATTAACTTTAATTGCTATGCTCAGCATTTTAATCCCAAACTTTGGATTCTTAACCTACTCAATTTTACAAGAATTAACATATTTTTCTTATATTTTTCGGAGCACCTTTCCGGTACGCGCTTTTCATAGCCAATATCAGTTTCTAGCACCAGTTCTCATTATTTTAACTTGAAAATCGTTTTACAAGTCCTATATATTATTCTAGGAATTATCATGCACTTATTATAATTTTCCGGGATACTTTTTTTGTACGCATTTATACCGACTAGCAGAACCGGTATTTGCACTTTTCTTCCGAAAAGCGACTTTCAGCATTCTTAATCACTTATCATACTTAATTAAGCCTCATAATAATTATTAGGGTCAATTATGAAATTATTTCCTAATTCTCATATATAATTAATTAATTTCCTTAATTAACGGTGCGGGTTATTACATTCACCCCGCATTTTTAGGATTTTGTCCTCAAAATCAGAAACATACCTGTCTCGAAACTCGGGGTACTGCCGGAGAAGCTCGTCCTCACGCTCCCAAGTACACTCCTCAGGAGTTCTTCCGGTCCATTGCACTTTGACCATCGGAATGACCTTGCTCCTCAGCTGCTTCTCGCCACAATCGAGAATCTTGAGTGGTCCGACGGGAGTCTTTAGGTTCTCCCGAACCTCCACATCATCAGGTTGCACCACGTTCGAAGGATATGCTATGTACTTCCGAAGCTGAGACACGTGAAACACGTCGTGGATGTTGGCCAAGTTCGGAGGCAAGGCAAGCCGATAGGCAACAGGTCCTACTCTACCAAGAATCTGGTATGGCCCAATATATCGTGGGCTCAGCTTCCTCACTCCGAGTGCCCGACGAACACCGGTGACAGGTGAAAGTCTCACAAACACGTGCTCACCCTCACTGAACTCCAGTGGACGATGCTTGACATCATAGTAGCTCTTCTGGCGATTCTGCGCTTGCTTTAACTTTTCTCTGATCAACAGAATCTGCTGAGTGGTATCTTGGACAAAGTCCAAGCCAAAAAGCTCCTTATCTCCAACCTCAGACCAGCAGGTACGAGTCCGACACCTCCTACCGTACAGTGCTTCTTAGGGCGCCATGCCCATGCTAGCATGAAAGCTGTTGTTGTATGAAAACTCAACCAACAGAAGGTACCTATCCCATGCCGAGCCCTGCGGTAACGTGCAAGCTCGCAACATGCTCTCCAAGGTCTGGATGGTCCTCTCAGTCTGTCCATCAGTCTGAGGGTGATAGGCGGTACTCAATCTCAACTGCGTACCAAAAGCCTCCTGCAGCGCCTCTCAGAACCGATATGTGAACTTTGGGTCCCTATCACTGATGATACTCTCGGGCACCCCGTGAAGCCTCACAATCTCGTGAACATAAAGCTTGGCCAACTGCTCCGTAGTGAAGCTCACCTTCACTGGAAGAAAATGGGCAGACTTCGTCAGTCTGTCCACAATGTCCCAGATAGAGTCACAACTCGCCCGAGTCTTAGGCAATCCCACCACGAAGTCCATGGAAATACTTTCCCACTTCCACTGTGGTACTTCAAGAGGTTGAAGCTCACCGGACAGTTTCTGATACTCGATCTTCACCTTCTGGCAAACCAAACACTTAGACACAAAAACAACAACATCTTTCTTCATGCCCGGCCACCAGAAGTTCTTCTTCAAGTCTTGATACAATTTAGTAGTACCAGGGTGGATAGCAAACTGGCCCTTATGGGCCTCTGCCATAACCTCTTCGGTCAACGGACCTCGAGGAACCACGATCCTCTGCTGAAACAAAAGAAGTCCATCTTTATTCCAAGACACACCATCTTGATTCTTCACATAATCCAGGCACTCTCTCTGCATTTGTGCCTCTTTGATCTTTTCTAACAGCTCATTCACAACGTCTGCTGCTTCCATCTCGAGAAGTGCACTCCCACACGGAGCGGTCACTGCCAGGTTTCGGAACTTCTCAACCACATCAAAATTACCAAGTAACATACTGGATGAGCTCCCGGCTCAAAGCATCAGCTACCACATTGGCCTTGCCAGGATGGTACTTCAACTCGAAGTCGTAATTCTTTAGGAACTCCATCCATCTCCTCTGCCTCATGTTCAACTCTTTATGGTCGAAAAGATACTTCAAACTCTTGTGGTCACTGCACGCCACAAACTTCAAACCAAAAAGATAATGCCTCCAAATCTTGAAAGCAAACACAATAACAGCCAACTCCAAGTCATGAGTAGGGTAGTTCTCCTCATGAGGCTTCAGCTGCCTTGAAGCATACGCAATCACTTTGCCCAACTGCATCAACACACAACCTAGCCCTTTTCCGGAGGCGTCGGTGAAAAGCTCAATCTCAAGCGCAGGATCAGGAAGGACCAACACAGGTGCAGTAGTCAGTCTCTCCTTCAACTCCTGAAAACAAACCTCACACTCGTGAGTCCACACAAATGAAGTCTCCTTCCGGGTAAGACGAGTCAAAGGGAGAACCATCATGGAGAAACCCTTGATGAACCTCCGATAATAACCTGCCAAACCCAGAAAGCTCCTCACTTCCGTAACTGTCTTGGGCCTCTCCCAATCCAGCACGACCTCGATCTTGTTCGGATCCACTGCAACTCCTTCCGCTGAAATCACATGCCCAAGGAACTTCACAGACTTGAGCCAAAACTCACACTTTGAAGGCTTCGCATACAGCTTATTCTCCTTCAGAACTTGCAGAACAATTCTCAAATGCTCAACATGCTCCTCCTCCGTCTTGGAGTAAATCAAAATATCGTCAATGAAGACGATCACAAACTGATCCAGGTACGGCTGGAAAATCCGGTTCATGTAATCTATGAACACAGCAGGTGCATTGGTGAGTCCAAACGGAATCACCAAATACTCAAAATGACCGTATCTCGAACGAAATGCGATCTTAGGGACATCCTCTGGTTTCACCCGAATCTGATGGTATCCGGACCAGAGATCAATCTTAGAATACACGCAAGCACCCCTGATCCAACAGATCATCAATCCGAGGAAGGGGATACTTGTTCTTGATCGTCACCTTGTTCAGCTGCCTGTAGTCGGTGCACAATCGCATTGTCCCGTCCTTCTTCTTCACAAAGATGACCGGTGCTCCCCAAGGAGACACACTCGGTCGAATGAAATCTTTCGCTGAAAGATCCTCAATATGCTTCTTCAGCTCTGCCAGCTCCGGTGGCAACATCTAGTATGGAGCTAATGAAATAGGCCCTACACCAGGCAACAGATCAATGGAGAACTCTATCTCCTTATGTGGCGGAAACTCAGGAATCTCCTCAGAAAACACTTCGAGGAATTCCCTCATCACAGGAATGCCAGTGATATCCTCCTGTGTCCCACTCACCAAACCTCCCAACATGACATATCCAAATGCCCCAGCTCTCAAGGCTCTCCTAGCCTGCATCAAAGAAATGTACGGCGAGGAACTAGCTGTGGAATCACACGGAGACATCACCACACGCTTGGCACAACAGTCAATCAATGCACAGTTCCTGGACAATCAATCCATGCCCAGAATAACATCCAAGTTAGTCATCGGCAATCCTATCAGATCTACCGAATACTCACGGCCATCCCGACGTGGTATAAAAGTGTGAGGTAACATGTGGGGTTACATTTAGAAATGTGCATGGGTCGAACCGAACCAGATTTTTTGAAAAATTCAACCGAATTTGTTTAAACGCTTCTATTCAGAAGTGGTTTGGTTCGGTTCAAAACTGATTCGGTTCGGAAATGGTTGGGTTGGGTTCGGAACTGGTTCGGGTCGATCCTCTTTGAAAAAGAAAAAAATTTAAAATTTAAAAAATAAAGTTATAAAAATCAATTTGGTTCGGTTTGGAAACGGTTCGGTTCGGTTCAAAATGGTTCGGTTCTTAAACTGGTTCTAAAAACCAGTTCGGTTCATGAACTGGTTCTTTAAAAATCGGTCCGGTTCATGAACTGGTTTTAAAAACCGGTTATTTTAAGGGCGATTCGGTTCGGTTCGGTTAATGGTTCGGTTTAGTTTTTTAGTTATTTTGCACATCTTTAGTTGGGATAGGTTATTCTGTAATTCACAGGTCCTCTAATGGTGTTTTTATCACACACAAGATACACACACAATTATCTGAATATACCTCTATTCTATTACTGATTCTACCAAGCCACTGTACAAGAGTTACAATGAGCTATTTATAAGTAATAGCAAATAATTAAGAATACTAATGACCAACTTAGGAAATCTAAACATAATAATGACTACTTCTTAGAAACTTTAAACTCATTAATGTCCACTATCAAATTCCTAAGGGACACATCCCTTTACCACAAAACTCTTTATTTTCTATTTTCTTTAATTAAATAAAGTTTAAACCCAACATATTCTACCTATTTTTTCCTGCCTACTACTCTAAAATATCATTAGATCAGAATGTTAACAAATTTTTATCTTTCTCTCTCCTCATGAGATTCTGATCTAACAGTGTTAGAGAATAGTAGGCAAAATTAAGGAAAAAAAAAAAAAAAATAGTAGATAGAATAACCTATAGACAAAGAGAGAAAAAGAAAAGGTTAATACCATTAATACGATTATGATCCGATCCTGAATCTATGGGTTTTACTATTTCCTTAACATTTATCCGAAGAACATCATATGTGGCGGCGTGGATGAAAGCTTGTGTTGTTTTCACTTGTCAGATAAGAACACAAAATCTTTAAAGCTATATTCATTCACTGTGATGTCAGTCTTTCTGCAATATCGGTAGCATCCTTACTGTTGCGTCCTTCAAACACACAACATAGTTAGTTTTTCCTTTTACTTTCTTTTTAGCAGAGCCACACTTGTATTGTATGGATGTGAAGATTTTATCTTTGTGAATGTGTATTTTGGAATTTTCATGTGGTAGTTTGTGTGGTTCTTGGGTAATATGGGGAATTTCAAAAATCTTACTGTTTCTCTCTTTCTTTTATTAAAAAAAAACAAACCTTTCTTGTTTTGATGGAATTTTTGGTTTTTGTTTCTTTTGTTTTTTTGTTAAACTTATATTTGAAAATTAGGTTTAATGTGAATTCTGAATTAGGGTAAATAATGCATGAACGTTCCAGGGGGTAAGGAAAGTTGTTTTAGGTGGTAGATCTTTCTTGTTTTCATTTTTATAAATTTCAAAACTAAGGACATCGTTTTGGATGCATTTTTTATTTTTGATCCAGTGGACTGCTTATAAAACTTCATATGTGAGAAGAAGTGATTGTTTCTGCAACACATGTTTCATTTTATATATTTACGAAGCATCAAATTTACTAAAATGAAAGGAAGCTTGGATGTTCTATGAAAAATGATCATTATCGCAAGTATCATGATACATAAATGAACATACCGGTAAATGAATGTGGAAATGTCAGAATTTGATTTGTGACTCTAATTTTGGTGATAGTGATAATATTTTTACATTTTACATTGAACCTGATTGCTTTTCAAAACTATTACTAGGTTGACAGTTCATCCTGGTTTGAGTAATTTAGTCTAGTTTTGAGCCATTGGATTATTCAAATGTTTCAGTGACTTCCCTTCATCTTGTAGTTTAGTGTTGCAACCATATCGATTTTGTTTCTCTAACACTTCCCTTAATCTTGTAGTTGAATGTTGCAAACAAGTCAATTTATGCACTCTTTCATATTTGAATGTTTATTTACAGAGTAGGAATTCTCAAAATAAGAGTAGAAGTTGCTGGAAAGATACATCTTACAGAGATAGTAGTATGAGCCAGTTCAATTACAATGACCAAGTTCCTCATTATGGTGGGGGTGTCCATTCTGCTGGCGGTGGGTACTTACCACATCAAACTTCTAGACCAATGTTTTCTACTATAGCCCCAACACCACAGTCACCATCATTGATTTGGTGTGAACTTTGTGAGGTTAAGTTGAGAAGTTACAAAAATATGAAAGAGCATTTGAATGGAAAGAGACATCAAGGATTGTTGAAACTACACGAGGAATCAAACAGAGAAGAAATTTCAAATGGACAACAGAGAGGACAGTTGCCAAATTCTCAAATGAATTCAGTAGTTGAACCTAAGCCCGTTCTTAAATCTGAGATACTTGGATGCCTGGTAGAAAATGTGAGTTCTGAAGCTACTGCTGCCAAGCACAAGAGTTGCCTGGGGAAATATATTGGGAAACCCAGTGATAACTTTGGTGCACAAGGTCATGATTTCAAGCGTAAGACTGCCGGAGCCACAGGAGGTAAATACATGAAGACAAATAATGCGATAAGAGAGCCAATGGATTCATCAAAACTTGATGTGAATGCTCTGTCAAGTTATGTAGAACCTGTTGTCCAAGTACCTGCTGCTGAAGTTTCAGCTAAAGGGCCTGAAGGGAAACCTAGGGATAACTTTGGTGTACAAAGTCATGGTTTCAAGCATAAAATTGCAGATGCCACAGGAGGTAAATACTTGAAAACAAATACTTTAATAAGAAAACGAATGGATTCATCAAAGCTTGATGTAAATGCTCCATCAAATCATGCAGAACCTGTAGTCCAAGTAACTGCAGTAGCACCACCATCAGGTCCTGTGGCTTCTCAGATTAAGGCTCCAACACCTGTTGTAGGATCAAGTTTCGAGCTACAGCTTCAACATGTCTCAGCCTCTGAGACACAAGTGTTAGAAGGCAAAAAACATCATCAGATTCAAAATCCTGCTTTCGAAACAAATGTACAGCCACAATCAATCTCTGTGGAGTTGAATGCCCCAGCAGGTTCTAATATTAGAACTCAAACTGAAGATTTGAGTTCTGCTTCTACTGCAATAGCAATAGCACCACCAAAAGAGCCTATGCTATCTCAGGTATTGGCATCAGAAGCAGCAGTGGGATCAAGTTTTGAATCACATACTGAAACAGAACCCCTAGGATCAGAAGCCATAGCACATTATGAGAGCCAAAATCCTACTGACAAATCAAATAATCAACTGCTATCACCTGTCTTGATGGAGTTCGATGGCCCTTCAGGTTCTGGTTTTAACACCCAAACTGCAGACGGAAGTTCAAAAGCTGAAGAAAAGATGGATGTTCTCACCACTAAATTCGGGTTAACTCAGTTGTCTCAGGTATTTCACATCATTTGCTAATTTTCAATGTAACTATCAAAGAATACAGTGGTTGTTTCTTAAGAGATCTAGTTACTAATTTGATTATAGTTTTATTCAGTATTACTGTGACAGGCCTGAATCTGCTTATCCTATCCATTTTGGCTAGTTTAGATTTTTCAATTGAATGAACCAACTATTCTACTAGTGATCTAACTTCGTGACATGTAAATAATTGTTGATTGAGTAAACCTTTTAAAACTATTTTGGTTTTTGGCATGTCTTGTCTTCCTTAAATGAGACAAACATGATAAAAATTTGAAATGAGAAGAAGAAAGAATTTTAAATGTTTTGTTTTTTGGCAATGCCTTTTTCTCAACCGTACATAACTCAAAAGCTTATGATTAGCAGCTTTTGGAGTTGTACATCTGCTTTTATGATCCATTTTAGTAAAACTGTGGGCACTTGTTTCAGGTAACTGTTTGTCTTACTTGTGGCGATGAGGGCTTTCCGGAGTTGTTGAATTTTTGTGAAACGTGTCAGGTTTATGCAGTGCATAGGTGACTTACTACTTTCTCTTTCTGTCTACTTACTTTGATGAACTTGTAGCAAGTTTTTATCGTCATACTTGACTGAAGATGCTACTACTTCTAATGCCTTATGGTCATTCTGTAATTTTCCATTAGAAGTATTAAAAGTGGGAGAATTATAGTTGATGAATCCAAAGAATATGAAATGTTACTGAAGATCATTGCCAATTCTGGTCAAACAATCAGGAACAATTAGGTTTTTAGTATTCCAATTATTTCCTTATATAGTTAGGCTTTTCGTGTTATGTAATTTGACAGATCCTATTATGATTTTTTAGGTACCAAATTTGGGTCTTAAAATCATGGGTTAGGAAGCCAATGCTTGTATATATTAAAGCTCCCTATTGCAATGGAAATTAGAAAATTCCGTCGTCTCATCCGTTAGATATGTATTGCTTGGTATTTATACCCTGAACTTTTGTGTCATTTGACATAGATTTTTATATGATTCTTATTATTTTTCAAGCAGAAATATGATTTTAGATTTTGGTAAAAGTGCTTTAAAAATATGATTTAGAAGGTTTTCATTATCATATTACCTGCAGATGCCCCTATTTTTTTATTTCCATGCGGACATTCTTTTAAATTTCAATTGGTATTGAAGGTGCTTATTAATACCTCGAACCTTTTCTTCTGAGTTGATGCACAATACAATTGTATTAATACCATGAACTTCCTTTTTGGTATCAGATGCATAGAGTTTTTAGTTTGCTATTGAATTTTGTTCACAGCATCTTCTAAAACAGAAGTTTATGCATTTTATAAGATTTGTAGTTTCACATTCTTGATGCATATTGGCCTTATTCTCCTCAACTTACTCTTTTCAGGTATTGTTTAGATGGGCCTGTGGATTATACTGGTGAAGTCACTTGGTTCTGTGAAGATTGTGATGCAAAGGTAGTAGACACATCTTCTCATGATCAAAGTAAAGCCAGAATAGAGGTAACAAATTGCATGAAGAAAGTAAGGAAAAACAAGCAACAACAAAAAGCTGATTCTAGTGAGGGGCATGTGACTGTTACTGAACCACAGCCTATTGCTGATCCAGTGTGGAGGTAAGAAATTTGTTTTTGCTACCTTCATTTGGAGTTGGTGAAATTTCTAGCTTCTATGGTGAATCATTGTCTAAAGTTGAATTTTATGGCTAATAGGGGAAGCTTGTACTTCTGTGACCAAAGTATTGATATTTTCAATGGACTTCTGGCCCATTTGTCCAATTTAGCATGCCCCCAAGTCCAAGAGGAAGCAAGACTTCTCCCTGAGGTGCTTCGTGTGGACTTGCTTGAAAGATCTGAAGTATGGCCAAAGTATTTCAAGGAAAGTGGACCAAATGAGGAGAGCATTGCTCTTTATTTCTTTCCTGAGAATGAATGGTGATTTTTCTGATAAACTAACATGTTCTTAGAGCTGTTTGGATATACTTTTTTTCTCTAAGAAGCTCCTTTTTCTCAAAATGAAAGTACTTTTCACTTTAAGTTTGTATTTTGCATTCAACTTTGGAAAAAGCAAAAGTCAGGGAAAAAAACTAAACTGATTTTTTTTTAAAAAAAAAACCAAGATTCTTGGTGTCTAAAAACGGGCCGGAATATTTTATTTTATTTTTCACTTAAAAATGCTTATTAGATACTGATTCAAACGCATTAGTTTTGCTTTTGAAAGAAGTCCCTGTGAAAAATAATGCAATGTATATAAAGCTTTTTTTCAAACTGCCCTTACTCTGCTCTCTCTATCTCTTTAATTTAATATTGAACATTACATGCTTCTACAGCAATGAGAGGGCCTTTGACGAGCTGGTTGATGAGATTATTTACCATGACCTTATCATAAAAGCTGTGGTTAAAAATGCAGAGCTTTTAGTTTTTCCTTCTACAGTGCTCCCAATGCAACACAGGAGTGAGTTACATTTATTCTTCTTCAGTGCCACGTTTAAATTTCACTGTTTGTAAAACAAAATTGTGTCTTAATTTTTGAGTTACATGTTGTGCAGGATTTCAAGCAAAGTATTACTTGTGGGGACTCTTCAGAGAAAAGCAAACTTCTCCTTAGTCTAAAACTTTTCATAACCATAGTACCTCTAATACTTTTTAGGCCTAGTGGTGTGGTTCTGTTTCCAATGAACGGTACTCCTGTTTCCCTAGCCATTGAATTCATCAGTGTGTATCTATTCAGTTTTACTTAACGTTTTTGAGAAAATATGGTAGCATGTTGAGAATTTTGAACTAGAGAGGATATGATCGATGGCCCTGGTTAACATTTTTGCTCCTGCATTATTTGTGATGACAAGAGAATGCCTAAATATGTGTTTTTTTTTTTGTTAATGATTTTACATTTTACTTTTTTTTTTTTAGTTGATATCTTTTTATTGATGATTATAAATATATCACTTTAATTTATTTTTATCATGTTTTATAATACTTTTGAAACAAATAATTGATCTCTATTTAATAACTATGAGTGATTAGTTTCATCGTCTTTTAAAAAATATTAAATGTTACTATAAAAGTGCGATTATATCTTTTGATAGCTTTAGCTGTCTTTGTCGCTAAAGTTATTGATTATTGAAACATAGGGGTTTTGATTTCATAGTTTCTGGATGCTTTGGTTAAATTTCAATACATCGTAAGGATATTTGTAGTTGTGGGAAGATTCAGAATTTAACTTTTAGTCTGCGTTCTTGTTAAGAGCGTTGAATGTGTATAAGAATGTATCCTGATGAGTTGGAATTGTGCAGTAAATAGATAAACATAATCTTGTGTCTCTATCTTTAGTATATAAAAGTTTAAATTAGGGAACATTTAATTAATATTTTTAAATATTGATAACACCAACTTTTACATTTTTGTTTTTTGTTTTTTTCCTTGTTTTGAAACATTATAATTATAAAACATAAAAATGTAAAAAAAAAAAAAAAACAACAATAATAACAACGAAAATGCCAGTGTGCACCCTTCCTTCTCTTTATTTTTGTTGTCCATCGTCAACAAACCTTTGTTGTCTCTTTTCAGTGTTAACGAAAGTTGTTTTTTCCTTGCTAGACTTTCTTTTCTTTCCCAACATTCTTACAATCTTGTAAATACCCACATGTTCTAAATGACCCACAACCGGTTGGCCCATTAAGGTAGACTCAAACCGCCTCCTGTCATCCACGTCAGCCCTGTTTACCAATGGTTACCAGCCCTCTCTTTATTCTGTTCCCACAGGGCAATGTCTTCAAGGTAAGACATCAAATTCTCCCTTAGATAGTCTCTCCAGACCCCTTAAATAGAAGTTTCCCCTTCACAGCTACAGCAGAAGTGACTGTCACCAGCATAGCAGGGACTACATTGTTGTCGCCGCAGCAATGTCAGGCACCTATGGCGCTCCCCAAGGAGAGTTGACCCGGCTCGCTCTTCCATGCGAGCAGGGCATCTTCTTCCCCTATAAATACCTCTCCATCACCAGGTAAGGGGTTCCATCTTTTGTGCTGTTATTTTGCCATCTTAGCGGCACATACACACTATCTTTGCGGATTCAGACTTCATATTTGGGACGTTGCCATTTAACTTGGTCCCTACTTTCGTTAGTGGCACACACACACACACACACCATCTTTGTGGATTCAAACTTCATACTTGGGACGTTGCCATTTAACTTGGTCTCTACTTTCGTTAGCGGCAATACCCATATAGTGATATACATCCCCTCCAAGGGAATATATTAGGCTTGCAGCTCTCAACGGTACATTAGCGCCGTCTGTGGAAAACTGTAAACTCGAATTCCCATTTTCTTTTCGAAGATCCTAAGAAAGCTCGAAACTCCAGAACATTCTGACCAAACGCCACATGGCAATCACCACTCGGAGGACTTATCAACCCAGGGCAACCATCCCAGAAGGACACATCCAAACTGTGCACTCCAGTTCCCCACCATCAATATAGTCAACTCCAGCTCCTTATGCGGTTGCGACAACCCTTCCACCAGCTCAACACGCCAGACATTCTACACACAGTCATGCAGTGGAAGAAATACAAAGCGAGATCGCCCACCTTTGACAAGCTGCTCATGTAGGCAACCAACTAATTGCACAAGAAGCCTGCGGCGAGAGCTCCGTCCCAGCCCCACCACCCCTACTAGCTTTTCAATACGCCATGCCCCTATCGATAACATCCGCCTAACATGCTGCTCCTGCCATCCATAGGTAAGAAATGAAGAAATGATCACAGGAAGGGTGTTGTTGTTCCCCTGATATGCATACTTTAAATGTTGGGAATGGGTTTTAGTTCTAAATCAGGAGGTTTTTCTGAAGAAGGTCTTTTGAGCTGCTTCTCCTTTTCAGTTCTTATCAAAGGTTCAGGCCTTCTTTCTTGCAGATAGCAACTCTGCTCTTCCTGTTGTGGATCTTCTTCTTCTTCCTCGTATTCTTCTTACCCGCTAACTTCATCATTCTGGATTATGAAGCTGACATTGACGTTCCCATCATTCTGGGTAGACCGTTCCTAGCAACTGGAGGAGCAATTATCAATGTACAAAAAGGGGAACTAACCATGAGAGTTCATGACGATGAGATCCAGTTCAATATTGTCAAAGCAATAAAGTTCCAGGATGAAGGAGAAGACTTGGAAGAATGTTCTGCTCTCACTTTGTTAGACAATCAGCTTAGCAGAAAAACAGAGGAAGAAGAATACGAGGAAGAAGAAGAAGATCCACAACAGGAAGAGCAGAGTTGCTATCTGCAAGAAAGAAGACCTGAACCTTTGATAAGAACTGAAAAGGAGAAGCAGCTCAAAAGACCTTCTTCAGAAAAACCTCCTGATTTAGAACTAAAACCCCTTCCCCAACATTTGAAGTATGCATATCAGGGGAACAACAACACCCTTCCTGTGATCATTTCTTCATTTCTTACCAAGGAACAAGAATAACTGTTACTTGACAAGCTCAAAAAGTATCAAGGAGCCATCGATTGGACCATAGCTGATCTCAAAGGTGTCAGTCCCTCATTCTGTATGCATAAAATATTATTGACTGATCCTAATAGTTTTTCAGTGCAACACCAAAGAAGATTGAACCTATAATGAAAGAAGTGGTGAGAAAGGAAGTCATCAAATGGCTGGATGCAGGGATCATATACCCAATATCTGACAGCAGTTGGGTAAGTCCTGTCCAATGCGTCCCCAAAAAGGGAGGCATAAAAGTGGAGAAGAATGAAAAGAATGAGCTGATACCTGTAAGAAAGGTTACATGATGGAGAATCTGCCAAGATTACAGGAAGCTCAACAATGCCACCAGGAAAGACCATTTCCCACTCCCTTTCACAGATCAGATGCTGGACCACCTAGCAGGAAAATAATACTTCTGTTTCCTTGATGGATATTCGGGGTATAATCAAATTGCCTTGGCACCAGAAGATCAACATAAAACCACCTTCACCTGCCCATATGGAACGTTCGCTTTCAGAAGGATGTCCTTCGGGTTATGTAATGCACCAGCAACGTTCCAGAGGTGTATGTTCTCAATCTTTTCTGATCTAATAGGTGAAGGAGTAGAAGTCTTTATGATTGATTTTTCAGTACTGGGAACGTCATATGATCACTGCTTGGAAAACTTAGAAGAAGTCCTTCAAAGGTGTTTGTCCTCTAATCTAGTGCTTAATTGGGAAAAATGCCACTTCATGGTGAAAGAAGGAATAGTCCTGGGACACAAGATTTCCAGAGAAGGACTGGAAGTGGATCAAGCCAAAGTAGAAGCTATAGCAAAAATGCCGCCACCAGTAAGTGTAAAAACCTTGAGATCTTTTTTAGGGCATGCAAGCTTTTACAGAAGGTTTGTTAAAGATTTTTCCAAAATAGCTAGACCTTTGTGCCACTTATTAGAAAAAGATATAAAATTTGAGTTTAACTCTGATTGTGTGAAAGCTTTTGAATCTTTGAAAAATAAGCTCATCACCACGCCTGTTATCCAACCTCCAGACTGGAACTTACCCTTTGAACTAATGTGCGATGCAAGTGATCATACTATTGGGGTAGTTCTGGGCCAGATGAAGGACAAACTTTTTCGTAGCATATATTACGCCAGTAAAACTCTAAATGAAGCTCAGGTGAACTACACAGTCACTGAAAAGGAGCTATTGACTGTAGTATATGCTTGTGAAAAATTCGGGCCTTACATTTTAGGATCAAAAGTTACTATCCATACTGACCATGCAGCTCTCAAGTACCTCTTCTCGAAAAAGGAAGCAAAACCAAGATTGATAAGATGGGTCCTACTGCTGCAAGAGTTCAATCTGGAGATCAAAGAAAGAAAAGGATGTGAAAATCAAATTGCAGATCATCTGTCCAGATTGGAACACATTGAAGTGGGGCTACCAATCAAGGAAACGTTCCCTGACGAACAATTGTTTGTCATTAATCACATAGAGACAAATGCTCCTTGGTTTGCTGATATAGCCAACTTCCTTGCAGCAGGGTTGGAACCTTATGAGGCGAATAAAATGCAGAAGAAGAAATTTTTTCACGATTGCAAGAACTACCTCTGGGACGAACCACTACTGTTCAGAAGATGCGCAGACCAAATGATAAGAAGGTGCGTCCCAGAAGAAGAACAACCTCAAATCCTTCAACACTGCCATTCGTCCCCATATGGAGGACATCTAGGTGGAATCAGGACTGCCTCCAAGGTTCTTCAATCAGGTTTCTTCTGGCCTTCCCTTTTTAAAGATGCACTTCAATATGCAAAAAATTGTGATAAATGTCAAAGAGAAGGTAACTTGACTAAACAAAATGAAATGCCCCTCAATCCGATCCTAGAAGTTGAATTATTTGATGTTTGGGGCATTGATTTCATGGGACCTTTTCCTCCTTCATGTGGGGACAAATTCATATTAATGGCTGTAGATTATGTAAGCAAGTGGGTAGAAGCAGTTGCTTTACCCACTAATGATGCTAAGGTGGTTATAAAATTTTTAAAGAGGAACATATTAACCAGATATGGAACCCCACGTTGTCTCATCAGCGACGGAGGGAAACATTTCATCAACCGCCAACTTGAGAGGTTGTTGGAGAAATATGGAGTCAAACACAAAGTTGCAACCCCATATCATCCACAAACCAGTGGTCTCATTGAAGTCTCTAACCGAGAGGTTAAGAGAATTTTAGAGAAGGTAGTTACTCCTTCTCGAAAAGACTGGTCTCTCAAGTTAAACGAGGCATTATGGGCTTACAGAACAGCATATAGAACACCTTTAGGGTGTTCCCCATACAGATTGATATTTGGCAAAGCTTGCCACTTCCCCCTCGAACTGGAGCACAAGG